TGTAATGATACCGCCTGGGGGGAGACAACAACAGGAATGGATGAATAATGTCCTTTGATCACAATAACACCACACACACACAAAACACATTTTGCTGCTACTACTATGTTAATGTTGGCACTAACGCTGTATGTGTGTATCGTTAGTTCGATATTACAAAATAAACTTTTACAGCTTCCAGACACCTACCGCCATGACAGCTGCCTATAAACACACACACACAGCACAAGAGTTCATCAGTACAAATGATCAGAACATCAGAACACACAGGTAATTATCATGGGATCTATCGACACCATTGCGGGTCAACAGATTACATAAATGCACTTGAATCATGATGATGTTTTCTGTGTGTGCGTCGTTACTTAATTAGCTAAATGTCTCTGAGAGTGGGAGGTGCAGTGTCCACTGGTCAAGACCAACGACCCTCACACAATTTACACTGATGCATGTCCAAGTTTTAATTTTTCCCATCAGATTGGTGTTAATAAGTTATTATTGACACCTGGTTATGACTTGCAAACCAAATGCAAAATGGCAGCGTTTGTATCTGTGATATTTTGGCTTCATTTCTGGACAGTGGGAGGAAGCAGAGACGTGTCGACCACACACAGTCCATGGGTTGTGCTGTTTCCTCTACTGAAACAACTGACCAGAGCTCAGTAAACAGGAGTAGGTGGTGCTCCTACATCAGATTAGCCAACCACTCATAAAAACACCGACACAGCAGCTTCAACCGATACTTTATTCATCATCATCATGAAAACTGCTTTACTGCGCTTTACAGCACTCCGATGGTTCAAGCTAAGTTTAAGATCTGGCCTCCTTAAGGAGAGCGACTCCCTGTCATGGCGACAGGAGGAACCGGAGATCGAACCGACGGCTTTGTCATTACTGAACCCACCTGATCAGGTCAGGTGAGGGGAATCATATTCCAGGCCTATAAGCTTTGAGCCTGTAGTGCTGCTTTGTTGTAGTTTATTTTAATATCTACTCTGGCTTTGCTTTGAACACAAGTGCATGTGAAATACCCTTTCCACCAAGCATCTGGTACAATATTCATTCATTTGTCTGGAATGCTGAATAATTAAAATTATTTTAAGTGGCTCAAGGGAAACATTTGTGTGTGTCTGCATGCTTCAAGTTAGCATCACTGTGCAGGAGCGAAGACACACACACACACACGCACGCACACACGCACGCACAATGTTGCAGAGAAGCATGAAAGAGCATCACAATATTTTCCAACTCTTTGAACACACTGTATTTATTCAGAAGCAAAGAGTTTGTTTTACTGCAAGAGGCAAAACAGAGAAGGACATTTCCCTTCACTGTTGGTAGCACATCTGGAGTATTCACACCATGATTGCATTCATGGAACTCTAAAGCAGGAGGGAAAATGAAGAGAAAGGAGAAACATCTGCACTGATCAGACTGGACACGTCGATAGCGGCTCCGTGGGATTTAGGACAGAGACTTGAGAAATACAGAGTGAGCTGCCTTCGTGACCAACGTGATCCATTACCGACCTTGCAGAAAGTCAATCACCATTTATCGTGACAATTATGTGGATCCAATCAACAAGCCAGGCCAGACACCCCCCGCCCCCACACACACTTACACCAGGTGAGGGAATGAGAAGGCGCAGGCATTTTAAAATTGATGAAGGGGAGGAAGGAGAGGAGAAAAGAACCAAATTCAAAGACAAAAGAATGAAGGTGTAAAGGTTAGAAATATGAGCAATGAAAACTAAATAATAACTTCCCTCTGAGTTTTAAGGATCTGCCACTGTGGTACCTTCGAGCTGAATTGCTTCGAATGCAGCCAGAGAAGACGTTTCTTTCCTTAATCAATAATGTATTCTTTTCAATACAGGCAAGCAATGCATTATTCAACAAAGGCTGAGAGATGCATGGAAGGGCCTAACAGAGGGAGGTCTTGCAACATTTATCTAATTAACAAGTACGATAATGAAAATGAAAGACAGAGCGGAGGACAGAGGGACGGGTAGAGGGACAGCGCAGAGAAAAACAAAAAAATTAAAGAGAGAGCAAGAGAGGAGAGGAGGTGCAAATATCTCCTTTTTACAAACGAGGAGGCTCTCGAATAGAATTCTCCAAAGGTTCACGTGGAAATGGCTTTGAGTGGAAGTCATCAGCACCGAGAGATTTAGCCTCCAAAGTGACAGGAAAGGGACACACACACACACACACACACACACACACACACACACACACACAGAGAGAGACAGTCACACAGACAGTGCACACAACGGCATTAAAGCATATATATGCAGGGAGAATTCACACACATCCATGTACGCACACAAGTGTGAAGGCGTAATCGTGAATAGACAAACACACTGAGGGTCTTACAAGGCGTAATCATTGGAGGCGAGCTTCTCCTCATATTTCACATGAGGATTAGTGCAAATCTGCATTGAACAAGGCGGCAAAGAGACTGTGCTGCTAACACTTCAGAGGGTAACTATATAAACCTTAACCTACAGAGGGTGAGGAGTTATATAAACTTTAAAAACACTATGTAAACCTTCTACAAGGAGCGAATACAGCGCATGAAACTAGAGGAATCCTAATGGCACTGAAACAGTTTTTAAGTGAGTGACAGATTGTATATCCTCTGCACCATCGCAGCTGCTTTTAATAAAAGGAACTGTGTGTGTAGAACATAAACAGTGTAGCACACAGAGACTAAATGGTGATAAAGAAATTAGCTCCTGCAGTTAATCAGAAACAGAAAAATAGTCTGCAGCAATTCTAATAATTGATTAATTATTTATCCAACAAAAACATTAGTCACTGTAATGATTTGTTTTTCTTTTCATCTAATACATCAGTATTTTTTTCCAGAGAAAAAGAGCAACCTGAGGCCAGACTGATTAATGGAGCATTAATATTCATTGATAATATACATGTATGAATAGTCAGATGCAGCTTGAATAATAACCTAGAAATGTGTTATTTCTTCCACTTAAATTTCTAATATGTATTTAGTTACCTTTTTGTTGTTATTCAATGAACTGTAGGACAGGGGAAATTTCCCCAAAAATTCTAAATCCCAAAAGAGATTTTGCCTCATCACTGTAGATGTGAATTTCAATGAATGTTTCAAAGTCACATTTTAACCTCCAGATATCCAACTTGAATTTAAATGTATGACTCTTTGAGAGCTTACATAAAAGACTGGTGTAAACAAACCCATGACAATCCTCGAGCAAGTTTCCACATATGCAAAACGTCTTCAAGGTTTTAAGGTTAAAGAAAAAACTTATAATTCATCTCATGCACGTTGTGAAAATGACTTCACACATTTGGCCCAAAGTGGCTCTGAAAGTATTTTTGCAAAAAGCCAGAGTGCTCAGAAACATTTCCTGAGCCTGTGGAGTTTGTGAGTGTAAATGAGAGACACACACTTCAGCATGTGGATTTGAAGCTAGCAGAGAAAGACAGAGAACATGTGGAGCAAGAAGAAAAAACAGGAGAAACATAACAAAGATGAGACAAAGAGTTGGGTCGAGTCCTTTAAAGTGGATTATTTTCTCCTCATCTGTTCCTGCAGGGGAAACACTCCTGCTGTCAAGGAGGTGAATCACTGCTGTTTCAATGACACTCACCGACAGGGGTCATGAGGTGCGTGCGTGCGTGCGTGCGTGAAATTGGGGGTGTGTGGCAGGTGCCAATCAGGACATACTGTAATTCCCTTCCACTCAGCCTTCGCCTGTGCTCAAACAGAGGTATTATCCCTCACCCTTTTTCCTTTCACCATTTCTCTGCTTCCCTTCTCCACATCCTCCATTCCAACACTCACCTCCTCCCTTCTCTCACCACCTAACACCTTCTCTCCTTCCCTCCTCATCCCCTTTCAAAAAACCTTGCCACATGTTGCATCAATTAACCTGAAGACATTTATGCATTTACTGTAAACAAATGTGATAATCAAGTTCCAAACCGACCCCTACACGGAAAGTTGGGCAGGAGGCCACAGGGTCAGATTTGGAGGGAGATCACAAGATTGCTTTGTGGCATTAAATAGGGAGGAGGATGCTTCTCCTCCGGTGTGACAGGAGCTTACAGTTTTCTTGCACCGGCAGATTGTACAGTAAGAAAATGATTCATATAAACAAATAAATGTTCTGCAGATGGAAAAAGACAAGCACTACTAATAACAAAAGAGAAAAACAGATAACTCAGCCTCACCATTGTTTCAATTGTACATACTAAATAATCGACGATGACATTGATGGTTCTGAATTCTTTCTGTGTTGCATCTTTACGGCTCGTCTTGCTAACACGGTGTCTGGTAAGCCTTCTTTGATCTTCTGGGCAAATAACACACATAAAGAATATCCTCATTGTGAATGTGATGATTCCCAGGAGCTCCTACCATTCAAGGTTCAAAGTGATTGGCACACGAGGGGCATCCCCTATTCAAGTGTGAGACCCTGACTCAGATGATCCACCTACATCTGAGGGAATCCTGCACAATGAGAGGCTCCTGTAGCTCACAATCACAAACACCTCCTACTCTCTCATCACCCTTCTTCTTTAGTCATCCCTTCTTCTTCCCTTTCAACCTCACTGCAGATACTTACCCTCCTACTCCACTTTTCTTCCTCCACATCATCTCTTTACACCAATGCCATCCCACTTCCTCTCTCTGTTTTCATTCTCTAGAGATAAGCTGCACCAATATCTGTGAGGGGCAGCTAACAGACAAGGCCCCCCCTTAGTATGTTAGCATGACAGGACAGGATTACCCTTTTGCAGGCTGTCGACAGCAGCAACAGCCATATATGTAAAAGCTGACAAGTGAGCGTCTGCTTGATTTTCTTGGCTCAGCAAAGTTGCAAAGACAGAACAATCGGTAAATCGCTCCAAACCACAGCAATTCATAACTGTATCGATCCCTTCATCTGCATAATATGCACATCATGCACAAATCATCCATCCTCCCAAGATTCTCCACACACTCCTCCATACCTTATCAGCCATGATCATGGACGACCCTCCGTGGATGCCGAGGATGGGTATAAGCGTCTGCGAGGAAATAAAATCCAAAATTTGGGCGATGGCCTCCTGGTCGGTGCCATCCCCAAACACCACCCCGTGGATCTTTGTCCCGGACATCAGGTCGCACATGTGAGTGATGATGCTTTTCGGGTCGGTCTCGTTGACCAGCAGTGTGACCACATTGACGTCAATGGGGTCCTCCTTGCTCCACAGCGCCCGGATGTCCCTGTCGGAGATGTAGCGTGTGCGTCCCAGGATCACCGCAATGTTCAGGACCGGCACTTTATCCGAGGCGCCACCAGTCCGTTGTTTTTGGGCCACCACGGGGTCCACAATCAGGGTCACCACCACCAGGAGAGCCAAGGACAGCAGCGCACTGTTACCACCACTGCTACTGCTCCAGCTGCTGCTGCTCTTTCTACTCCTCCTCTTACTCCTTTTGCTGCTGAGGGACATTCTGCCAAACCACTTCATCCCCTGCACAGAGAGAGGATGAGGGAGAACAGAGCAGATGAAGACAGATCAAAAAGAGATGGGGTGATGGGAGAGAGTAGCGTGAAAAGAAGATGGCAGAGAGAGAAAGATAAATAGTTAATGCACAATTCTTTAAGCCGACAAATTCAGGTGGCATCTTTCTTTTTTATTCACCTCCTTCTCAGCAGCGTTATTAAACATATAAAGCTTGTGGGGAGGGAGACGGCCTTGAGAGGAATTTGCGGAGGGGTGAGAGAGAGAAAAGATGACTAACAAGTGTATTCTTTATGGTCACGACAGCCAAGATCGGAGTCAGGAGCAGGCTGTGCTATTTGGAAGAGACAGGCAGAGATTTATACAGTTTATAAATGTAATATCTTAACACTCCACCTTCAGTTTGGATTGACGCACAACTTGTAGGGAGGATGCCGGAGTTACAGGAATAGAGAAACTGTGCTGAGCATAGTTATTCCTTTATTATAATGTTTGTCTCAACATATAGAAAAGGTTTTTTTATCATACAAGTTCTATACTCACACATACTTGAGGGCTTTTTATCTGTCTGTTGCTTGGGACAAAATTCTTGCACAGATTAATGGTTCCCAGGTGACACCTCCTAGTTAACGTCTCCATTAGTGTCGCCATAACTGTCACAATATGTGGTTTTGGATGAAATGTCTCCACACCTATTGGACAGATTACCATGAAATTTCACATTCATGTCCCACTCTGGATCCCGTTTCTATCTGTGATACCTTTAATGATCCCTCCGCTGTATATGAAGCACCACCATAAAGTCAAAATTATACCCTGTCCTGTACTTTCGCTCATGACCAATTACCGTGCACGACTAATGACAGAATCAGTCTGCGGTCCTTGTTTGTTTAATGCAGCTTAGAGAACATTTGCATGTGAGCAACAGAAGTGAGACGGCAAGGTTAGCATGTAGCCTCACAGAGCTGGAGAATTAGCATCTAGGGCAATGTCCAATATTTTGGGCCTTGTCAGCAGCAGATATCCAGGACAAGACTGTTTTCAGTACAGTATTTATAGTCCAACTAGTTTATCTTGTCACACGAGTCAAACCTTTCTCCACACTAAACACAAACAGCAACTGGGCAACCAAAGTCTGCCCTTGCCTTTAGTTTCTGCACATTGACATGAAGTTTAATATATAACCAACATTTCAAATGTGGAGAAACCACTCACAGCTTTATAACAGGATTCAAAACAATGTCAAACATTGTCCTCGCCGCACTAAACCTACTTTCATAGATTCACTAGTGGTGTTGCCTTAAAGAAAACGGCAGAAAGGTTGAAAAACTTTAAAGTCTGATAATAGCATAACTGCCAGTTTGATAAATTGACAGAAGGGACATTATGTGGTGAGCACAACTGTATTGGAAATGTATGGTAAGTTTTGCCAAATACAAATCTCTGCACGGCCGTTGAGAAACTCTGATGTAACGAGGGAATATATCAATAAATCAAGTTTAAGTCGGACACACCTGTCCCGCGACGCTGATGCTGGGTCGAGCATATCTTCACCTGACATTTACTAGACTCTTCTATGAATGATTCAATACACAAAGTGGAGACACAACGGTCAAATACACAAGAGTTCCATTTGTCTCCCTGGAGGTAAGTAACTTACAAATTACATAAAGGCTCAAAAGAACAGACTAATATAAGTCAGAGTGCTATAAAAAGCTTGGGATGCCAGATAGCGTTCTTTTGTGTTTTTTGAAGTAGCACTCCAGGCCTCGGACAGGGAGGCAGAAGGTGGGGGAGGTGAGGAGTGGGAGTTTCTCAGTTGAAAGAACTGTGTGAGTGTGTGTTTGAGAACGTGCATCATGTGGGAACAAATGAAAGTGAGAGTCAGTGTTAGCGATAGCCAGGTGAGAGCGTGACAGTGGTTATTCTGCACCAAACAAACAGGAGAACAAGGTGTCATCATCATCGCCCTCCCTCCCTCCCCTTCACGACAAGAGGTAACACTCACCGGCCTCACGACTTAATGCTCAGGGAGCATGAAACATTGAGTGAGAGTGTGTGTGTTGGTTTACCATCATGTGTTAGACATATGAGCAGGTGTGCCGAACATCAGAGCGTGAGTGGAATCAGAAAGGCATGAAGCATATGGTCACATAATGTGTCGGTGTGCACCGCGGAAGATTTATGGATTCACCGACAGGACCACATGTGTTTTTGAGTCGCCGTGGAGCCGGTTAGCGCATGATTGATTCACAGGAGCTGTCGATTATCATGTCACAGTTGGAGACGGTGCGGATTTAAGCACAAGATCATAAGACACTTGTCTCATTGACAAAGCGCTCCTACACATTAACATAATCAACAAAACAACACAGCAAGACGTCCACTTGTTGCCACCCGATGGATTTGCAACTGCTAACACCAGCTTTAATATCCACCGTGGACATGGTGTTGTTTCAATCACGCTTCTTTGTCAGTTTGTCACTGAGCAAGAGAGTCAGGGGTTCGATTTCCTGCACTTCCAGTCCACATGCCAAAGTGTCCTTGGGGAAGATACTGAGGCCCCCAATTGTGCCTGATGGCAGTGCAGTGAGTGTGATAGAAAAAGTGCTATAAGAATAGAATTGATGAATGTGTGTTTGAATAAATGTGAATTGTGTAAAACGTTTTTAGTGGTCGTCAAGACCAGAAAAGTGTTAAATGATGACAATTGTCCTGTTTGTTAGGTATGAATAGAAACTATATTTAAGTTTAAATTCCAGCACACTGTTGTCATCAAAACATGGAAAGATTAAATAAGGTTTACATGATTTTCCATCTCCTAAGAAACGAGGGAACCGTGCAGCTGCATTGTCTCCTTTTCTAAAGCGTGATGATGGTTTTCAGATCATTTTCAGTAGGATTTGTCATAACCTGCACGTCTCTAATGAAATTGAGACCCCAGTGGAAGACTCTATTGTGAGCTGAATAATGCATTTGGGCTCAATGTGTCATCCAGTGTTTAAAGTGAGCACAGGACTGCTTGTCCCCCCCCAACCCTCCTCTGCCCAACTGAGCATAAACACAGTTAGACCTGAGGATGAATCATCTAAATCTCAGTCCATTCACCGCAGAGAGAGCGAGCGCACTGACGCCTAATGGATTCCTATTGTCTCTGTCAAAAAGTCGACGTCTTCCTTTCCCCCCAAAAAGCTGTAGGATTACATGAAGGCTTGCACTGACAGTGTATGAATCATTTAATTCTACAGGGCAGACTTTTCTCAGCTGAGCAACGAAATGAAAGAATTATTCACCTAATTTTCTATAAATACAGCATTTTATTGTGAAGTGACGGCCGCTTTCCTACTTCACCTACACACTGACATTATTAATCTGGTTAACAGGTTCTTTTAATGTCGGTCAATGATCAGCTTCTGGTTACCTTGAATCAAATTGGAGATTATTATGATTTTGAACATTGTTCGAAACATGAGACCACAAGTCACCTAGATATAGATCATAAGTGCAATCTATTTACATCATTTAGATATTATCATTATTTTACAAAATCAAGTCAGAGAAGACTATTTGGAAACCAAGTCTTTGCAAACTTTATGATACTGTTACACAACTCTCAATAGCCAATAGCCAACGGGAAATGTTGCTATGGGTTGCTCACCTATTTGCATGACTACAAACCGAGGATGACAGAAAGCTCCTTTAGTCCATTTCAGAGACATGTTTCAACACTCATTTTAATAAAAAAGGGTCAAACTGGTACCAATTTGGCATATTATGGTATTTATAGTAACAGACGAGTCCCCTGTTGACAAGATTATCTCTCAGTTCCAATGAGTGGTGCTAAAATCTGACTAACAAAAGAGTGTTTCGGTTTTTTTCTCTTTCCTTGTCTCAACTCTGCAGCATCACAAGGGGATTTTAGGGAGAGGAGGATGCTGGAGGGGGGGGGTGCACAGAAGAGAGGAAAGTGGGAGGGAAGAAAGTGATATTTGGGCATAGAAAAAGAGAAGAAATAAAGAGAGAGGAAGAGAGAGAGGGAGGGGGAGAGCATCTCCAGGCCAAATCGGATTGGGGCAGTTTGTCGTCACACAAAGGCTACCGCTTCCTGGCACCACAACAGTAAATGATGTTTGGCAGCCACATCCATACTACTGGCTATCGTTCACACACACACACACACACACACACACACACTTAGTATTTCCTCACACAAGGCACAAAATGAAACTCTGCATATCAATTCTACAGTCTAGAAAACACTCCGAAACTGAAATACTGTCATTTTTATACACTACTTTTGAGTATACGTGACACTTTGCACACACGTCTTCTCTCCGTGACATCAGAGGACATAACAGCGGCCTGGAACCCTAAATCTTAACCTACACATGACCTTAAAACACATTTTCATCTTTAAAAGATGTCGTTTTTTGTGTGCATGAGAAAAACAAGTCCCCATAATGTGGCTGAGTAAACAGATGTAGGTCCCCACAATATGAATATTCAAGTTGTGGGAGCCTATGTGTTTTTATAACACACACACACACACACACACACACACACACACACACACACACACACTGAACTCTCTCTGGCTATAACCATTACGACAATTCCCACGAGGCTTGGCCACCACAAAGCCCACGTTTCTGGTCCACACACAACTAGGTTTCACACGCATCAATAATTCAGCTGCATTATCTTTATATGATGATTAATATGATTGCATTTACTGCTGCAGTCGCATTTGTTCTTCCTTCTATCTTCCCTAAATGGCATTAAAATTAGATCTGCGTACTGTACACACTCTATGGATATGATTTATTCACAAAGTCGGTTTGATACCGAGGATGATAAGTGTGTTTTACTATGCCATGGCCCAGTGGATACGTGTGTGTCTATGTATATTCCCTCGTTTGTGGAAGACTGCCCTTAATATTGTATGTTTTTATCCCATCTCAGCTCTGTATTCATTTATCACGCATTCATCTATTCACTTATCTGTCCATCCATCCCTTCATCCGTCACGCTACTTTCATCCGACTATCATTCCTCCATCTTCATTTGTTTTCCCCCGTACATTCATACATTTGTTTGTTGGTTTGTCTGTTTTTTAGCAGCATGACACAAAATTGACAGAATGGATCCAGGAATTCATTTTTACTTTCTTTGACATTGCAAAGTGTTTTTTTTTTTACATTTTCACCGATTTCCCAGGGAATAATTCATCACACATGATTTTTGTTTATTTTTTAAACAGGGTATTAAGGGAGTAAAATCCATGAGCGTGTTAAATTGCAGCTTGATTGATTTTACGTTGACTGTAAAATCTGAGTAGTTTTTGCTTATTTCCAACTCCATTTTTCTCCCCTGTCTCAACATCTTTGAATTTACACAGTCATCCACTATAATCTGCAAACCACGAACTCTGAGCTTTGGTCGCTTGACGGAGCCATTTTATAAGAAGCCGACTTTGTTCTCAGAGCAGCTTCTAATGAGGGGAAGTGATGATCGTGATTCAGCTGAAGATAAAGAGAGGCTGCTGGCTGTGCACCTGGTGAGAAGCAACGGTAACTGGGAACCAACAAGGAGCTTCTTGGAAATGCATGTGTGTGAAGCCGTGTTTCAAGTTCGACATATCATCAAACCCACCTCCCCTCCGATGCCAAAGAAATGCTGAGGCCCAATGTTTGTTTTTTTTCTTACGTAATCCCATCTCCAAGCTTCACTCTCAGGTCTGCGTCTCTGCATCAGCAAAGTCCAAACAATCATTTCCTTCCACACTTGTCTCATCTTCACATTTCCTTTCCTCAGCAGACCTCTGCAGGGGATGATTTTCTCGAGTGCCGACCTTAGTGTTTCAAACTTCCTCCGTCACTTTTCTCTTCCTGCCCAATTACACAAAAGACCGTTCTCTATAAAAATCTGAATTAATGGAGCTGTGTTTCTCCACTTGTTAATCAGGCCCCAAAACATCCCCCCTCTCTGACGTCATTCTCCTTGTCCCCGATTCCTTTTTCTCTCTCTCGGCTAATTTCATCTTTCATCTAACTTCATCTGTTTTATTTATCAGGACTTTTATTCCGACACCAAACAGGAAAAAAGATAATTTGTGAGAATGCAAATGTGCTGCAGAAGTTAGGATGAGTCTCGGGCCTTTGCACAAAGTAACAATGTGTTGAAGGATTAGAAGAAGCAGATAGAAAGAGCAATGTATGATTTTTAATCATCAATTCCCAGCACTTGAATTTAGTAGGTCTTTTCCCTGGTGCACCACATGTGATGCATTTTACTTTCAACATCAACGGAGAGTTAGCAGAAACAATGACAGATGCCTCTACCTACTATCGACACCTATTTCTGACACCGGTAATCCAAGAGTAACTCTGAAGCACCACAGCAAACGTGAGTGTGGCTGCAGAGTGGTTGTCTGACTTTAAGAGGCTAATTAGACACGAAGAGCGAAACACAGCCTTCAAAACTAGCTGCACGTGTTGAGGTTGCGCTAAAGAGGATTTCTGAAGTTTGACAAAATAATCATCGGGGGATTTGAACAACGTGAGCGTTTACAGGAAGCAGGAAGGGTCTAACAAAAGAGGCCATGCAGAGTCATTATAGGAAATGTTGGATTCTTCAGTTTTTGAAGTTTGACCCTCCGGGAATAAAAGCCAGGAATATCATTGCGTCTACTGCTGCTTTGGTTTTGACACATATTCCCCAACTTCACCCTTGAAGTAACCCCATCTCTTCTGACAGCCTTCTCCTGTCACCTCACTCCTCTCTACATTTTCTCCCAGCCATTCCCTCATTCACTCCCTTTCTCTCTCTCTCTCTCCCTCTCAGGCCCCAGCCATCTGGTCCGTGTGCCCTGACATGTGCATGAGCGCCCATGAGAAGCCCAGTGGAAGTAATCGTCTGTTACCACTCAGGCTTCAACATGTTGTCTGCCCACTGCACATACCTCTTTAGCTCCCTACAAATCCAGTGTGTGTGTGTGTGTGTGTGTGTGTGTGTGTGTGTGTGTGTGTGTCTGTGTGTGTGAGAGACAGACAAAGACAGAAGTGAGGTCACTACTGTTCTCTTATATAAAGGATGTGATCAGTGCTCGCTCTTTGCACCTGATGCCTGACACACACCTATCCCTCCGTGCTGCATCGGAAGATTAAACTGTGCTACATCGAGTGTCCTCGCTCCTTTAGTTAGTTTCTTTTCATCCTATTTGCAGCAGTCAGCTCCTGCTTCATTTGCATGCAGGAGGCCGCTATCAGACCACGGACTCTCTTTATGAATCGGAATTTGCTTTAATGGCAAATACTTTTACATTGCCACAGCAATACAGTATGAAGGAATAAAAACGGATGAAGAAAAATAAAGTGATTGCAGTGCGTTATGCTGTGATGTAATGAGAATATAAAGAAGTTGTTATTTTGATGTTGGTTTAGAAGCTTGTTTGGCCATTAGACAGCAAACCCAGTGTCTTCTAGACCCGCAGCGTTTCTGTGTGCGGCCAACAGGAAAGGAATATTCTAACTGAGGCCGGAGTCAGAGGTGATTTCAGGTTTTGATTCAGCCATGAACAATACTGATGAGTCTGAAACACATCAGCAATCTGTTCTGTACTCCGTGACGATTTGATTTTTTACCCTATAGGTTGATTTTTTTAGAAGAAGAACTTCAGGGCTGCCTTCTCCTATAATGCTGCTTTCATCTATATGTAAATAAAGAGGAATAAAAAATCAATCACATCCATGTTTCTCTTCACACTCAGTCTTTTATCCTCTCATTCTCAGTTTCTCGTCTTTCCTGTGTGTGCCTCTGACGTATGATTGGCGATAATACTTTGAAATAATACTCATATCAAAAACACACACACTTGCTGATGCTGAATAGTAAAAGCAAGGAAACCATAAAGCAGGATGGTCCGGGCCTCGATGTACATGGGGGAGGTGGTGGGTTAATACATTATTTCCTTTTGCTGTCATAAACATATGGATTGCCCTTCCATGGGCTGAGTCTGACGCCATAACAGAGAGAGAGAGGGTGTGAGAGACAGAGAGAGAGAGAGAGCTTTTCTGTGATAGGAAAACTGCGCTTCAACAACGTGACTGAGTCCTGAGAACAGGAAAGAGAGAGAAAGAAAGAGAGAGAGAGAGAGATAGGGGAGGGGAGGGAGGGGGTGTAAATTCATTTGGATCTCCTCATTAGGTTCAGTGGAGCCAACACAATACAAGTGCGACCCCTACTGGTACAACGTGGGTCTGACTCCTCCACTCGTGGCCAAGACGCTCCGCGTACAGTGGGAATTTTTTTTTGTATTTTTTTTTTTAGGGCAAAGCCTTTGTTCACTTTCTGGCAGCTGAAACAGACGCAGAGATTTGGCCCCCAAAAAACTCACCACAATAAAGAAAAACGCGCACCGTGCACAGAGAGATCTCTCTAACGCAACGCTGCGTGCACGTCCTGGAATGGGATGAGGAGAGGAGCTGGAAGTTGTGCCAGTGCACCGGCGCGACCTAAAAAACCCCGCAATGTGTTACCCAACATCTGGATAACATCAGCAGAGAGCGCACCCATCTCTTATTCATGTGGTGGCTCTGCGTTAGGTCCATCGGTTTGGGGTAAACCCGGGATAACAGCACATCTCACTGGGGAAATTTGGTGGATGATCAGTGCCTGTGCAACAAATCTGCGTCCATCACCTGTGCAGGCAGTTTATACGCGAATGCACGTGAAAGGGATGAACGCGTAAAAGCTCAATCATGCTGCCTGAGAGATGTTGGATACAGATGCGCTCTGCTCACTGCGCCAGCTTTATGTTCCGAGCTAAATGATCACACTCGACACGAGAGAGGAGAATCTCTTTCCTCTTGTGCACCTCGCAGTGTCTGCCTGGCGTCTTTTAAATCCCACTTGGGGGTGTTTTAGGGACAGCTGTGCTCTCTGTGGTGTGGGTGCCGCACTTTGGATGAGGGACGCCTGTGGGTCTAAACCCGCCTGCTGGTGGAAGAAAGAGGGGGTGGGGGGGTGGGGGACAGAGACGTGCACGATCCTCCCGAAAAAACCCAAATGCAGAGGAGAAAAACAACAAAGTACTTACAGCATCTCCCTTCCACAGAGCTCCAAAACAGTGGTGCGAGATGACATTGCAACAGCCCCCTCTCTCCTCTGAGAAGCAGCCTCTGCTGGTGATCACTCTCACAAACCCTGCACAACAGGAGAAAGATCAAAAATAAAATCAAAAATCACCGGATCTCTGGCAGTGAATTATTCCCACCGAGTCCAGCAACACTGAGTGGAATCCCCCGTTTTCGCACTTCACGGGCGCGCAGCAGCGAATAATAATAATTAAAAAAAAAAAAATCACTGATGTTGTAATCCAGTCTTCAGTGTGTGTGCGCCTGTACCGCGGATTCTCCACTGCAAGATCTGCTGGCCCCGCGCATCGTGGGGTTTTTTTGAGCTGCCTCTGTGTGATCACAGCTCCCGGTATCCCGTTATTCCTGTCCCGGGCGAGGAGGGGAGCGCATGAGGGGAGGGAAGAGGCAGGCGAGCGGCCGCCGGACGCACACACGGACGCACATTGACCACCACAGAAGAGGCTCCGGCTGCCTTCAGACCGTGCATGGAACCCGCTGCCAACAACGTCTCTCTCTCTCTCTCCCCCTCTCTCTCTCTTTCGTCGTGCACGTGTATGTGTGAGACAGTGTATGGAGGTGTGGGAGAGGGGGGTTGCTGAATGAGCACGCGTGCGTGTGATTTCGCGTTCTGTCTATGCCTGCGCGCTTCTGCAGAGGCACTGGCAAACTGGATGGAGACTGTCGGTGCGTCGGTCGGTCTGTCTCTCTCCCCCTCTGCGCTAAAGCTCCTGGAGGAAGTGGCTCAGTCAAACACGCACTCATTCAGCCGGAGTTGAGCTGAAAATCACCAGGCAACATTTTTATTTCTCCCTATGAGGCTTTCTCTCTCTCTCCATCCATCCATCCCCTCATTCATTCATTCATTCATGCCTTTTGAGATTTTCATAGTCAGTCAGTCCAGAAAACTGGAGCAGATACGGCTCCATAAAATATACACCAACTAGTGGTGCAAAAGCAAATACAATATTAATAGGAAATGGCAAATTAAAGTCAATTTGTCTACCTTTACCTGTGTGGGCGCGAACTCACATACACACACACACACATGCGCAACCAGCTGTGAACGAGATCTACACACCTGGATTGCTGGAGACGAATTCAGTCCATGTTCCACTGCGCCCCCGCTGGAACCTCGTCATTGTTAAAATATTAAACGCATCTTCTCCACCCCCCCACACTGGATCATCTGCAACAGGACATGCTTCACCTGCAGATTTCCACCGTCTCTTCTGAGGAAACTTCTGACAGACATTTTAAGTTGGCCATGCAGGTGTCGTGGCGCGCGGCTCAAACAGGGTCCGACCAGGAAACGGGACGCAAACATTTGGTTCCTCTGTGTCGCTGAATGTCTAAAACAAACTGTCACAATAAACCGGAGGACTGGAGGTTGTGTTACATTTGGAAGAATGATTATTTGTGCAACAGGAGCAAGACATTTAAATGATAGTCCTGATAAAGAACAGGAAATACCCCCCCCCCCC